TTTTATGAAGTGAATTCAGGCTCTAGATTGCAATCTCTCCCTCTATGCCCAGCTCAGGATCAGGGCTCTTCATCTAGACAGAAGATTCCTGCACTTTCCATTCACCACTGCTGCACTAGACCAGAAATGTGGCTATTTAAAATATTTATACCCTGCCTTTCAACAAAAACCAGGTTCAATCAGTTCAGTAAAAAAAACAAAAAAAACCCCCTCAGCCGAAAATTTAAAAAAACAACACAGTCTATCCTATTGCAACAACCAGAATTCAAACCCCATTCCTTGCACCTTGTCCTGAACATCTGCCAAAAGGAAGCCCTCTTCACTTCCTTTGATATGCCATTCCTTACAATGGGTGTAACAACAGGAAAATGTTTGAACTGTGGCAGAAGATGAGTGTACAGCCTTGGATGGAGAAATGGCAAGGAGAAACTGACGTGAGGCGATACCTGGCAAACAGTCCTATATGGGGAGAGTGGGTCCTTTTTTTTTTTTTTAAAGAGCACCTTACACTGCTAAATAGATAACCTGTGTACTCATTTTAGAGCAACTACTATATGTTTAAGCCAATTAGCCCCTCACAACAAACAAGCTACCACATTTTGTACCAGAACAAAGTTTGAGTCCAGTGGCATCTTTATGACCAAAAAAGTTTTATCCAAGGTCTTAAAGGTGCCATTGGACTCAAACTTTGTTCTGCAGCTTCAGACCAACACAGCTACCCACATGTTGTACCAGTTCAAGTTTCCAAGTAGCCCCAAGTAAAATGTTACAGTAGTTCATTCGTAAGGTTTTTAAAGCATTGATCAGATTGGCCACAGTGACTAGCAGGGAGGACATGTGATGAACCAGATGTAATTTGTAGAAGGTGCTTCTTGCCACAACACCTGTTTCTAAGGGTCTATTAGCATCTCAGATTCTTCACTTGATTCACAAAAGATAATTTCATCCTATCCAAGAGAAGCAGATCCTTTCTCTCAAGAACATCACCCCAACCAACCAGCACTGCCTCTGATTTGTCTGGATTAAACTTCAGGTAGTTCTGCCTTGGTCACATGACTACAGCCTCAACACATCTGTTCAATACTGCAGAATCTAGGGAGCAAAGAAATATAGAAGTAGGTGTTACCAGCATACTGATGACACCTAACGTCAAAGCTCTGGACAACTCCAATTAGTAGCCTGACTTGAATGTTCAAGGGCACTGGTAACAATACTCTGCAGCATTCTGCAAGTCAGATCTTGACCTCTTTGATTGTCTTTTCTGTCAGGATGCACACAAAGAGTTTCCAAAAACACTGCAGGAGCTAATACCTATTCCATGCTGTAAAAGATGTAATAAAAGGAAGTGATCCATTGTACAAAAACCAACCAAAAATCCTACAGGATCAGCAAGGACAAAGTGCCTTTATCAGACTGGAAGGGAAGATTGCCCACCCATGCAAGTAAAGATATCTTGCTCCCAAAACCAGATCTGAAACCAGGCAGAAATGGATGAAGGGCAAATGTTTCATTCTGGGGGAACAATAGGGGACAAAGCCCTCTGGCCCTGCTCTCCATGGCAAATCAAGAGCCAGAAACAGCTGACTGAAACGTCAGTAGTTGGAGCTGTTTCTAGCAAGGAATGGACTGAACCTTCCTTCTCTGTCTGCGATCCCCTTCTGATGTCAGACAATCAGGCAAGCCCTCGGGGCAATTCTATGGACAGGAAGAAAAGGGAACAAGATATAACAGTCTGTTCCTTTCTCACTGATAGCCTGCAGGAAAAAGCAAGGCAAGCAAGCAAGGTGGTAACAAATGAATATAGATGTAACTGTTACGAACTGAAGCATGACTGACAACCTCTACAGCCCATGGTGGTCCTGTGAACTTGAATAAGCAGGCATCTGGCCAGCATGGGGTACAGCTGTGGTTGCATTTGGAATAGAAAGACTGGGTTGGGTGGGCATTCAAGACTGCCGTGTAGACATTTGAAGGACCATCTTTTCTGATATGAGCTCATGTGGCAACTTTGCTCAGCACAGCACCACCACCACCACCACCGCCTCACAGCACCAAATCCTGCAAAGGCTCATTCTGTCTCTGCTTGCTCCCAGGCAGGTTTCCCCCATAGCCTTGCAGAAGAAATTCGGAAGACTTCATCTCTCTTGCAATTCTGCAATGGATGCAAGACAGAACTTTCAAAGGAAGGCTTTGAACTCTCTTGATGGCTTCCATGGCCTGCTTGGTCCTTATAGAGTGGAATAATTTATAAAGTTTTTGCTGGTAGTTTTAAACTTTCTGTGTTTTATATGGTTTTTATTGTTATTTATTTATTTAATTTGTATCCCACCCTCCCTGCCATGGCAGGCTCAGGTTGGCTTACAGAATATATATAAATATTAAAACAAGATATGTTAAGACACAAAAGTTAAATTAAAAACATAACATATACAATTTAGACTTCAAGGCATTTAAATATTAATAAAAGATGGCAGCGTTCTCTCAGCATCCGGTGGTCAACTCTCAGCATCTGGTGGTCAATTAATCAGGATGATACACTCCCACATATTTTCACCCCTACAAGGTATTCCAAAGATTGCCACATAAACTCAGCAAGTATCTATCTCACCAAACTTTGTTTTCAATTTAATAAAGTTTGGCTGAATGGGTTTACCAACTTTCCCAAATCTGGAGAATATATATTTGTTTCAACAGGCTTTTAGTTGTTAAGCTAGTGCTGATGTTGGGGCCAGGGCCACGATATTTTTTTTAATATGTCACCCATCTTGGGACCCAGTTGTCTAAGACAAACATGAGTTTATAAATGTTTTAAATAAACAAGCAAACAAAATCTCCTGTAACACCCCATGTCACAATATTGTAGCATGGCCATATTCCACGGCATCACCAGCATGTAGTCAGGAACCTGGGTCTCAGCAATGACATCTTCCCATAGAAACCATTGACCCCACCAACAGAGCACTTTCTGCAAGATGATATCAGCATTTACGCCAGGATCACAATCTGGAAAGGCTTCGCTACAGCAGCTTATCTTTCAGAGATTCTTTCAACAGTGGCTAAAGGTTAGCAAGGAGAGTATGTCTGTTTGATACTCAAATAAGCAAAATGCAGATGGGATGGGCATACCTGGCCCGTGGTTCAGAGTGTCTTCAAAATGCATGTTCTTACTGTTTCCTTGGATGATAATATCAGACACATTGTAGTGTGGGCTGGAGCAGCACTGCATGGCTGAATACATGACACACACTTCATAGCATAGTACTTAGCCATGAATGAAGCTACACAGAACAAAAGGCTGGCTGCTTCCCTAGACAAAGTCAGAACAGGATCTTTTGTTACAGCAAAGTGGGCTGGGGGGTGGATTTGTTGCTTTGCAATATGTGGAGACCCCATGTTAACATATAGAGACTACATTTTACCCATTGAGCAAAAAAATTAGATCCAAGCAGAATCGGAGTGAAGCAAAAGAAATCAAATACCCTGTTTTATTTATTTGATCAACAGCTTTGCATGTGTGTATTTTTGGTAGCTGCCAAAGACCCACAGACCGGCTGCTCCTGAACTTCTGCTGCTGAATTTGGCTTTTGTGTCCCAGCTGGTGTGTGATCAGCCGGTGGGATTCTGTCTGCCTTAAAGCGGCAGGTGTCTGCCAAACAAAGGCCACAGCACAACAGGAGGCCTCGGTGAGGTCCCGTAGCAAGACCTCCTATGAGGGAGGGGGAACTGGATTGTGGCTTCTCTGTTGCCCTGCAAGGGACAGCACAGTCTATAGGGGGGGAAAAGAGCAGGCAGGCATCATACAAATTATACAAATCTGTTTGTCTGCTCTTCGATGCTGTGCTTGTGTGCTGGATAAGCCAATTTACAGTAATCAACATTTCTTCCCTTCCAAATCATGCAATCTCCCCACTTTCCCAGCTCCTCTTTCCCAAATCTGAGAATTAAGGCATTCTCCCCCCCACACACACACAAACACAGTTGTAATAAAACAGTGAGACACTTGGCCTTTTGTTTGTTTGAGTTTTGAGATATTTACTCCTGTAGATGGAGTCAGTGCTGGAGAGGGAAATATTCTTTTTAGTCCAAATTTTTAGTAACGGAGGAGGAAACGCCAAACAAATTGAAATTAGCAGTAGACAGATGTTTGCAGACAGAGGCGAACAGTATAAAATAGCAATTTTCCTGATACCAAGTCCAGAGTAATTTAATGTTGTACTCAGAGCCACAAACTCCTTAGCCTTTCCTCATAAGGAAACTGCTCCAATCCCTTGAACATTTTGGTTGCTTTCTGAACCTTTTCCAGTGCTAAATGGCGCAATCCTAAGAAAACTCCTGGAAGTAAACCCCACATAGGATTCTAAGTAGACATGCTTAGGATCGCATTTTAAACACAGCAACCAAAGTATAGACAATGCTCCATATTTGAACACACCATAGATCTTTACAAGAGCATAGATCTATACAAGATCTATAATATTGGCCATCTGGAGTTTCTTGGAGTTGCAGATAGACAGGATATTTAGAGGCACCTAGGCAAAATTAGTATTTTGAAGTCTTTATGAATTTTCTTTTCCATGCTGGCTCCCATACCCAAAAGTTCCTAGGACCCACTTTACAAGTTAGCCTGCAGCTCTCTCACAACCAATGTCTTGTACCTGGTAGCATGGAAGTATTCTTTCTCACCACAGACAACTATTTACAAGGCAGCTGATACAGCCTTGATGCTTCCCCACATCCCTCAGCATCCATACTGTAGCATAAGTTCCCTCAATACACATGCTTATCTATTTTTACATCTTCTCCTCTACCCCAGAACAAATAATCCCTAGCCATCCATCAATCACTGGAGCTTCATGTCTTTTAACAGGAAGCAGGAAGAATATCTACGAAGAAAATACCGCTGGTCTGGCTGAATCATTCATTGGCTGCCTCTGCTCTTCAATCAATCAACGGCTGTAGGGACTGGCAGACAGAGCAGGGTTAGGAGCTGTACAACTCACCTGTAAAGCCTCACAGGCCTGCTCCACAGTCAGCGAATCTTTGATGAATTCAACACACAGCTGAAACAAAAAATGGTTGAGAAGGGTAAGAGACTGAGAGTGGAGGGAAAAACTCTTGTGCATGCTTGCAGCAGTGGCAACCACTGCACAGTCTCAGGTCTGTTGCCTTTCCTGACCTGACATCTCTCCCACGTGTCATTTACATTCGTGCTTTGTAATCTGTCCTCTGCACTTGGCCTGTGTTCTAATTTGACCTTCAATGAGGTTTTCTAAACAATGATATTACCAAATTAGGATTGTTTCACATAATCACATAGCAAATTGACCAAGAAAACAGCC